CTCTTTCCGCAGGAAAGCTGAGGAAAGCAAAACTCCCTCTGGAAGACTGCCTTAATAATTAGGGTAAGCAGAGACAAAAAGAGTGCAGCACAACAGACTAGTCATCTGTATAATTTACTAATGTTCAGACACCTTCCATCTGGAATGTCAGAACTATTCCAAAAAGGTGGTCATGCCTCTGAGAGCTAAAGTGTGGAGATTACACAGCAGCAGATTTCTGTCCTATCCCTTCTCTTCATTTTATCCATCTCAGTGGATAGCTGTAAACATTAACAGTAAAAACTGTCTTCCTGGTTGATTAACCAGGAAAACGTGAACAGAAAACATAAGTAAGTGGCACAAAACCCACTACACCTATGTTGCAACTCCATTTGTCTAACATGGTAGAGTGTAGTAAAAGTTTAAATACAAACTTTTATTATTAAAAGCAGAAAAATAATGACTTTCAAGCCTGGGGGGAGGGTTTGTTTGGTTGGTTTGATTTGGTTTTTTAAGTACATCAACACACTTTAAGGTTTGGTTTTCTTATGCATGTTTTATTTTTCTGTTTATTGGTATGAAAAATTACCTCCTCTTTCAGTGCATGTTTCTTCTGCTCCAAACAGATTTCTTTAGCACGCATCAACTGCAGTGTCTCCTTAGAAACTGCATACTGAAGCTTTTCCATACGTTCCACTGCTGCTGCCCATGCTGCCTTACCAAATTTCTTTTGGTCTGCTCGCATTCGATCGTACACAGCTACAGAAGGGAAGAAAAGGCAGACAGCTTACCAGTCTACTCTTCAGATCACTAGTGATTCTACTGCAGAGACAATGCCCACATTCTCCAAAAGCATACAAAGTTCTCTTAGCAGGGAGTAGTCATTCTTCAGAGTACTAACCTTCAAATCCAGGATGTAAGTACTCTTAGGATTCATATAAATATGCAATTAGCTATTTGTTGACCATTTTATCATTGCAATTCCAATTTTTGTTATCCAGAGAGGGACCATTCTGAATACTCAGTACCCGAACACTTGAACCAATGGTTCAGAATTCTTGACTTAATGAAAATATCTCATTAATGCTACCATGTGATTTTAAACTACATCCCAAATATTCCCCGCTTCTGAAAGCCCCAATTATCAGCTACTGAAGTCTCCAATTTCCCTTGATAACTTCTATAGTGGTCATAAGTTTAAATAAATCTGCAGAGTGAAAAGAAGTTACAACTTAAAACAAAATTTCAGCTTGACCTCAAGTGCAATTCTGTAAGAATACGGAATTAAATTTAAATAACATCTATATTTTAACTCAAAATGCAGGTTGCTTCACAAAATTAATTCCAATTAACTAAACAAACTATAATCTGATCTTAATATGCAGGGATGAATGAGAATCTTTTCAGGAAGACTTCAGAGTAGCAGGAGTTCCTTGCCTGATTCAGATTTTCTGTTCTTGAGACCCAGACAACACCCAGGTTGACACACATGAGATTTTCATCATTTTTAATATATAGAACAATCACATGATACTGTACACTTAGCTTTGCAAAGCAAAGTCACAGAGTCAAAGGGAGAGCATTCAGTCCCCAGCTGCTAGAAGGTATTACACGCTGTTGTTAGGTAATAAAAAATACCTTTATGCTCTGTATTTTTCCTCTGCCATCTGTTAGTATTTTGGTATCTAAGACCACTCTGTGATCAGCAGAAGGCCAAAAAAACCCAAAACATAACAGAACAGGCAAGTAACCTGTATGCCAAAGGTCTATGGTTGTAAATGGTCTCCAGACATTTCATTTCCCAGCATTTTTCCCCACAATCCTGATTGCTGTACATAAAAAAAAAGCACGTGAACAAAACAAGAAGTAAATAAATGTAAATATACATTCTTTGTCAACTAATGGGGTATTTCATTTGCTGCCTTTGTCATACTAGAAAAGGAACGAAACTGATTAAATACATTTAGAATTTGCTCTAATGAAATTAATTCCAACATGCTTGAACTGGTTTAGTCACTTTTTCAAAATAAGGTGGAGTTTCATGTTATACTTAACTTGGGTTGTCATCGAAAGGAATCACTTTGCAGTGACTGCTTCTCTTGAGGCAGATCTAGCAGTCATGCAGGGAGATGACAGGAAACCTACCCATCAAAAAAGATTTTCTCCCAGGGGTACAGCTCATTTATCTGGTTGCACAATCACTATCACCAAGGCAAAGAAAGAAAGAGGAACCCGCAGTCAGGCAGAGAAGACAGTGGGACATAAACTCTGTCAGTGGTAGCCCACAGTCAAACTAAAAGAGGTGTCATGAAACCACATCCTCAGGTATGTTTGCCCTAATAAACTGATCATTTAAGTTAAAATGGTACAAGGATCAGAGCACAGATGCACATGGCAAGTTATATGACCTAGTTTTAGTGCACCAACTCTTTCGTAAAACTGCTGCATTCTTCAAGCACAGAAATGCCAAGGTCATATCCAAGATTTCTGAACAACTGAGCAGCTTTCACCGAACAGTTAAACTGAGCTGTTGCTTAGTATTTAGAGCTATGAAAAAAATTACTGAAAGGCAGGGAAGGCAGGAAAAGGAAATTAATTGAAAGGTAATAAACACTTACTATGGTGGTCTGCCATATCCAGTACAGAAGACAGAATCCATCAAGGGCTCTATGCTCCCTAAATCCTTTGCAAATGTACAGTGCAGCTAACACAAATCACATTGAGAAAGTGATTGTGAAACTTTTATCTGAAATTTCTATTCTGCTCACTTCTGATGATGTTCTGAAAAGGCTTATTGGTGAAAGATTCGAATAGACACAGAAGAAAAATCAAACGGGAACGACAACTGCATTTTCCTCATGGAGGATTGATGAAAAAAATAAATCACAGTACAATACAGAACATAGTAAACATTAAGTAAGTTTTTAAAGATCTCTTATTTGATGGATAGATAGTAGAAAATAACTACCTTTTTGTGTTTTAGCTGTTATTTCAAAGTATTTTACTGTAAGATCTTGAATAGAAAGCACAGCCATGTGGGCTTTTCTCTGCCAGTCGGCATCTTCTTTTTGCAGGCTCTCAATTCTTCTGGGGCCTAGGTAGTCATTCTCTATCGAGATCTGAAAATAAATTAGTCCATAATTAACAACACAATTAATTGTCGCTATTTTGCCAACAGCAACCAGTTTCAGGGTGGCTAAGAAAGAAAGAAAAACAAAAAGGAGAGAAAACTACCAGCAAACCACCATGGCTTCTATTCTTACATTTTCTCAAACTCACTTATTGGTCTGGAATTTCCTCATTTGGATTCAAAGTTCTGGAGAAAGTGTGGTCTAACAGAAAAAGCTCCCATCTCACAACTAGATCACATAGTCCAATCTACAGTTTCTTTTCTAGTAATCACTTTCTTAAAAAAATTCCAGCTATTCTTCCGAAAAAACCTATATTCTCTTTGAGAAGAATCCAAGCCTCATGGTAAAATTGGCTTAAGATAATTTTTTTCTTCCTGACGATGAAACTTGCTTTTGAAGACTTTCACGTTTTGCAAGCTTTACTTCAGATAATGCTTTGAAACTAAGAAAATTATGACAGCTTTCACAAAAGTGGTTGTCAGAAAGCACACAAGACGACGAAGAAACAGCAGAAGCCATTAACGTCAATACATCATGTAAACATCTATTTCCATCAGCTATTGCTTCAGAGTAATGGAACATAAAAGAACACATTTCTACACCATATGGATATGTTTCTGAAGGAAAACAAATTAGTTCTTCAGAGGAAACAAACTGAAAGGAGGTCCCTAATCTAGCCTGTGAGCAAGTGAGAATGAATCAGAGAGGCAAGACTCTGCTACTGGAAACATTCAACATGTTATGTTGAATTTTGAAGAGAGTAAAGTAAATTTAACGTGAAAAGATATGACAAACAGGCCTGCAACTATAGGATTTTGTTAAGTTTTATATAGTATACATCTCCTAAATAAAGAAATATTCAAGGATCTTTAATACTTCCCAGGTTCTTTCTGAAGACAGCTGGGACAAGAATGGACAAGACTGACAGAAATAGACTTAGGCCGGGTCACATTATAGCTTAGACAGGGATCTGTCATGTCTCTCCAGCTCCCTTCGTTATCCTTCTCCTAGACGGACTTGTAATAGGCAGAAAAGGAGAAAAACACGAGATGTAACAACAGCAGGTCAATTAATTATAAGAACGAAAAAAAGTAAGTTGAGGTAGCACTACAGATGGCAGAGGCAATATATAAAAAGGAAACAGCTTCATACATACAAACACTCAGCTGCCCTCCTTTGACACATTCCAGGAGGCCAAACAACCAATTGCAACCACAGCCTGCTAGATATATCAGCAATAATGCACGCATTTCAGCTTCATCATCCATTCAGGGACTTCTCAAAGTTAGTCTTACAGGTTTTAATTTAACTATGCTCCCAGCTGGTAACACAAACCCAACACTATTGCCCAAAATACATTGTAATTCCATATGTACAGCCCGAAATACATTAAGTGAAAGCACTCAGCTGTAAAAAGGGCCTTACAGTTTTAGTGGTTTTATCCTAACAAATCCTGACATGGACTTTAACGTTAATACACGCAAACTAACTTAAGACTGGATGGACTAGATTCCTTAAAATATCTGGAGCCTGGGACTAGCAATACAAACTACAGGGGTTTTGATTATCTTAATTGAGATACAGGAAAACGACATACACAATTCAATAAAGATAAAGACTGTAAAGGAAGAAACAAACTAAAAAGCAAACAAGATGTTAGGACATACAGAAAGAAGACTAAACAACAGTGTCATTGTACCGCAAAATGCAGTGGTGAATGTTAGAAGACAAAAATCATAGAAGATTAAGGTTATGGCATGAGTAAAAGGAATGACTGGGATTATTCAACTCTTTTTTTCCCCAGACACCTAAGAGTGCATATAAAGGAGCATTAAAACCACTAAGTTAAAGTATTTTATATTGGTGATTGATAGAATTAAGGCTAAATTGTGCATCCTGAGTTATGCCTTCCTTATTTACCCACGTGTATATCCTAAAACCTTTATTTACATTTCAGCTTCAATGACTGAGCTTCAGGCTAAAAAAAAAAGTTCACCTTCAAAAAGAAAGCTTTATTTTAATTTTTTTTTTTTTTTTTTTTTTAATAAGACATATTCTACTATTTGTTTGAAAACTTTGTTTAAGCAAGTGAGCTTGAGTGTTAAAGCAAGTGGGCTTGAGTGTTTCCAGATGTTCTAGAATGCTTTTGTGGATGAAAAGGATTGGACAGATTTTTAAATCTTCAGTTAAAAAAAGCTTATATATACAATAGACAAAATGTTAAACACATCCATCAAAAATTCATCAGAATATGGTTGACAATTTTTATATACACAGATACAGAAAAAAGGAAAATAATAAGGACACAAATATTAGACAAGAAGAAATCAGATTAAACACATATAAATACCCATGAATAGGGATACTGAAAATAACTGTAACAACTGCAAATAAAGCCCTACAGGACCCAGTATAAACTCAGCAAATATCATGAAAGCTTACAAAAATTGTTTTTTTCAGAGCACTACTGAAAAAAAAGTACTAGATTTCAACATATTTACAGATTTAGGTAAACATGGACTTGAAAAATTGACACTCTTATGATCAAGGTTTTCTGTCTTTGAAGACCTTAAGCCCCTTTCCTTGCCCTCCACAGCCTGCATAATATTACATGAAAGTCTCTTCCTTCTTTCTCCTTCCCTATCTCCAACACTGCAGAAGAAAAAATAATATATCTCCACAGTTTTCACCCTCCTTTACTCTAATCTTTGCAGGGACACACAATTTAGGATTTTCTGCATGTTTAACATCCTTTCAGAGTTTCATCAAGATGCCTTTTTGAATGAACACTGATTCTGCATCTTTCTGCACCATTTCCCCGCATACCCTAATCTTAGGTCAGATCCAAGGCTGTCCCCGCCCTTGCTTCCAACTGTAATTATTACTAGCACCTGGAGAAAAAAAAAAATTAAGCCATGAGATATGGACACATTGATAACTCCCAACTTCTGTTACTAAACGGCTTAGAGGCTTCCTGAGCTGATGGCTAATCTGAATCATCGTTAATAGCCACTGATGGGTCTGTCTCTTTCTGGAACACATATATGCTTAGTGTCCATGGTTAAACTGTAAGAATTATTGCCACAGAGCGTGTAAGGTGTGTTTTGTAAGAGTATAATTGTTTTTCCTTTATTCACAGGATGTTTTAAAGCACCACGAGTTCATTCAGGGTCCCCTGGTTTTTTTAGCATGCGAAAGACTGAAAGAAATCATTCAATATTCTCTTTACCTTATCATTCATGATTTATAGATCTCTTTCTTTAATCACATGCTTTCCAAACTAAGGCAATCTGATTCATTTACTCTGTCCTTGTACTGAGGCTTTTGCAGGGAAATACCCTTACTATCCTCACTGCCATCCTGTAACTATCCTGATCCTACAGTATGTTTTTGAGAGGGAGAAACTAAAACTGCAGCATTCAAGATGCAAGTATACCATGGATATATACACAGGTGTGATGTTGTTTTCCATTTTGTTTTGTTTGGGGTTTTTTTTCCCTAATAATTCAAAACCTTTCTTTCCTCTTTCAAAATGCTGAATGGCAAGCTATTTTCAGAGAACTCCTCAAGATAATTCTCATACCTTTTTCCTCAGGAGTTAATTAAGTGCACACAAATGTGCATGTATGCTTTTGGAGGTTGTCATGATCCTTCTGCACATGCATTACTTTTTATTCATTGACAATTTCAAATTCTGTTTTATTATCCAGCCCAGCCTTTCTTAAGGGAAATGTAAAAAAAAAAAAAAAAAACCAAAACCAAACCTTTTGGCATTCAAACATAATCAGATTTTTCTACAAGTTTTATTACGCATTTTTACAGGTGAACATCGAGAGCAGCTTCATACTCTATTCACCTTGCAGAGCGGCAGATTTAAGTGACCAGATACATGCCACAGTTTTGTAGCAACCTCATACCAAGAGTTCAGTTTCCTCACTGATTCAGACTCCCAGCCTGCCTTCCACCAGATCGCCTATTTAGAGCACTATTTTTTCAGAAAACCCATAAAACCCTGATTTTAACTCAGCAAAATGTTTTGCCATGAGTTCATATAATAAATCTAGACGATTTATAGTTCAGAATGTAAACAGAGACTGGCATATAACCCTTCTGAAATAGCCTGTGAGACTATACTATCACAGAATAATTCAGCATATTACACCAGTTTCTCAACCAAGAAAGCAAGTTTCTGACCTTCATTTGCAAATCCAGCCATTTTGCATAAACTTAGATTACCGTTTCTCCCCTACTCTACAGGTTTTTTAAAAGTCAAGTTTATCTATGATTTCTGATGATGTGAGGACACATCTTTAACTATAGATAGACTAAAAGAGACTTGAGAATTCTTTGAAGTGTTTCAGACTCTCCACTGAGTACTGCCTTAGGTTTTTTTACCAGACGTTTTTCATAAACTCGTCAGCAAGTCACTAGCCTGTAACTACTGGAGGGTGTGGTTCACAAAGTGAGAGGAATGAAACTGACCTGCTTGCCATGCGAGTAATTGTATGTTTTAATCAGTGCTGCTTTAGTGTCCTCCAATGTGCCTTGTGTAGCTTTGTATTCATGTTTTTCACTGCAAGACAACCATGCACTCAAAAATATTATATGAGGCTTAAAAAAAAAAAAATGCACAGTTCAAAAACCAGCTTACTAAGACATCAATTATCCAAGAGCCAAAGATAAAAACATGGATTTAGTAATACAGGACTCATCCATTTGATGTGTGGGAGCAACACTACAAATTAAGAGTATGAAGCATTGACATCCACTCCCTTCCCCACAACATCTGCATTTGACTATGAGACTTTTTTTAAAGCATTCTCTCTTTAAGTATTTTTAAAGTAATTCTGTTTTGCTAGCTATCCTCATCATCAAACTTACCTTCTCCTTTGAACTTGTTTCATACTTTGTGAAATTTTTTTTTTTAAACCAAAAGTTAAAATGTTCAATGCAACATAATTTATTTCTAAGTATTTTATTTTACGGAAATCAAAGTCAAATTAGTTATAAGGTTAACTACTGCAATTCACCGTCAAGTATTAAACCAACAAATAAATCCTCATACAGTTGAGCCAGAGTTATATTTTCATCAACTATAAATTATACCAGTATCTGCTTAAAGGAGCTTGAAAGAGAAGCACAACATACACTAATAAAGCATTCTACAATGTAAAAAAAACGGAATTTGATAATTATCAAGCTATATGCTGCTCTAATCTCTTATTTCCAATGCTAGACCTCAACATTAGTGCATTTAAAGACCTTAAAACCCCCTTACATTCAAGAGAATTAACATGTCGGTGAAAATAATGAATATGTATGCAATGAAACTAAGAGTGCTTTTAAATACATTTAATATATAATTACATTTTAATGTTTTAATGAGAGGTAATGATGAGTGTAGGCTCTCACCTGTATCAAGGTATTATCAGTTCTCAGTTAAGCAAACCCAGTCCAACTCAGACCTTCAACAATGCTTGTGTCAAAGTTTTGCTGGCATCTACATGTAGGTTATGAAACAATTTATCTTACATTTTATCTTTAGTTTAATACCAAGCACATTTAAAAAAAAAAAAAAAAAGCATGAAAAAAAAAAAGCCTTCCACTGATTTCACCTGGGGTTTGATCAAACACAGTGCCTACTCAACAAGGTTGTGAAGTACTGTCCACAGTTATAAGATCATAAAAATTCACAGTAGGAAGGTAGTTTCTTTCTCTCTATGAAGGCCGGTGAACACAACTGTACCTACAGAAAGGGCTTTGGGTTTTTGCCCATGAAGTTTTTCTTTTGAAAGATTTTTTTTTTTTTTAAAAATAATCAGATTTGGTATCCTGTATCAAAGAACACTTTATATCTTAGTCTTAAAGGGCTTAAAGCTTGATCATATTAACCTCTCAGTAAGTTCTATAGCCAAATATCAGCCACTAACTGGTCCCTCCCCTCCATACTTTCAGAAGAAGACTGCACTATATATGGAGGATTTGACAAAATTAAGATTTAACTATCTGAAATCAAAGGTACCAGAGCACAGGTATCTACTCTGCTTTTTCCAAATTTCGGGAGTATTACAATATTTCACCTTCAGGTTTCCAGCAACTGATGCCTACTACTTCCCACTTTTCCGCTATAGCAATGTGTATTCTTAATGTACAAAAAATTTGCTACATTTTCACATGGAAAATGATCCATTTTGATAAATGAAAAATTTGTAGGTATAAACGTGAAACATTTTATTGCAGCTTTTTTTAGTTCATTAGAAGTCTGATTTCTAGCAAAAAAAGCATCTTAAAATCCATTTAGAATTTGAAATTAATGCTAGATAAAATAATCTACAAATATTGTTTGCCCTGTGGCTTTAAGTGCATACTTTGGAAAAATATGCAGAGAGCCCAAAACATATAATAAAGCATTTGAATATCAAGCTTCACTTGCCTGATGGCTATGTTACATTTGAGAGTCTGAAATCAGAAAAAACGGACAAGTAACCCAAACAGTGAAATTAACATGCAAAAACTCACTGGTTGAAAGTCTTTACATATTATTACATCTAAACCAGCAACAGTCCAGAAATAATGAAATTTAAAAATGCCTATACAAATTCAGCACAGCTTTTATGTGTATATAAATTATAATATTGTCTTCAATTCCTTTATTATACCTTCTCCAGCATCCAGTTAAAGTTCTAGCTGTTTGGCTGGCTTATCAGTACAACTTTTCACACTTACCTTACAAAATATGATCATGCTAGACACACAGAATATGTCTAGTAAGCATATCTTACATATTAATCTTGAAATGAGTACAGATTTGCTTCTTTGATGAGCATTTCTCAATTTGATAATACCATTCATTACAAATTGGCTTTTATTTGTGTGTCCCCCATAAAGGCCTTGGGGCAAGCAGGATTATTACCACATCATATATATTAAAAAACCTAAGTCCCAAACACTGCTGTGCTTGCACTGTCCAATTTTTTCAAGAATGCATGGTATCTGGTAAGCATTTTGCCATGCTTAGAGGGAGGTCCCCAAGGATTTGAGCAGCACTCACAAATATTAAGCATTCCTATGAACAAAACTAGGTTTCTGAAGCTGGGAGCCCCAAAAATGAGAAACATATCACTACTGAACGCATTGTTCTAGGGCCAGATGAGTAGTCCATATTTAGACAGAAATTTTGGCAGAAGTCAGTTTTCCAGAGTGACATTCCATTTCATAATAAGCCATCCTTTTCTTCTTCCATAATCCTGTACCTTTTTCATTATGTTTTCCAAATTCAGCAATATGTAAGTGCTTCACAATACAGCTTTGATTTCTCACCCATACTAAATGATCCATCCTTCACACTAAATGAGGCAAATACACCTGAAAAACTAGCATACAATCAAGTTAAAATACAAAAACAAAAAAGAAAAAAAAAGAAGACTGCTATCATGTCTATCATGAACAACACTAATCTGCATTTTCAAGCCTCTAAATGTTTTAACTTTTTTAATGAACTTTTGTTCTGGGTTGTTTTGGTTTGTTTTTGGTTTTTTTCCCAAAAAAGAAATCTGCAGAGAATACAGCTGTCCTACTCTAATAAGCCTCCCCTGAGTGGACAGAATTTCGTGTTTGTTTCTCCCTTCCCTCCTGTACGCTTGTCTCTTGCTAGAAGTTTCACAGCAACAGCAGAAATTTAACATCCATGATATATGTTCCAATTTTTATGTCTTGCTCCAAAAGGAGAAGACACTAAACACTCTTCTCAAAGATTATAGGCAAAGCAATTAATTTCCTCCTAAACTCTTTCTGAAAACTGACAAAATGAAACTGATTAAAATACTTATTAAAAAACCCAAATTCTTAAAAAACAAATTGAAATAACTTCCCCACAACTCAAAAACAGATACCTAATTGAGAAAAGGTCTAAATATGTTAAATAAAGTAATTACAGAAGGCATATGCAATCTTGACCAAATACTGGTATTTGTATTCAAGCTTAATTATCCTTGTAATTTATTTTTTCATTTTAGTAACACATTCTGCAAGTTCTTCCTTCCTTACCCTGCCCTATATCCAAACTTTATCCTTCTCCTTGTCACTCTTTACATGTAAACAGTATTGTATGTTCACAGCTCCCATTTTACTGAGGTAGTAAGCATCAGAAATACTTCTGTTATGCATGAAAATGGAGCTAACCCCAGCCATAAGGGTTTAGAGAAACCTAAGGATCTTTGTTCCATTATTAAGCCTGCCAGAAAAACATATGCAGCAAGCTAACACAAACCATTTCATGCACAACTTCTATTTATAAAGCAATTCTTCTACCCTAGCTACCCAGTGTAATACGTATTTTGTCATCCTAGATACAAGTACTGCTTTCTCTCAAACAATGAAATGAAAAACAAGAGATGGCATCTTTCTCAACCACATAATACAGATGACCAAGTTTTGTAACTCAGAAATTGCCAAGTTAGGAAGAGAATTTAATGTACATTAGATGCAACTATGTACAACTGAAATAATCGACCACAGAACATGCCTCTGAAGTTTACTCAGGTTATTCTCTCAGGAAAAATAGAAAATGAGATATGTTAAAACTGGAATTCAAGAGATCATTGAGGTTAAAAAAAAAAACCCAAAACAAAACACAACTCTTAATTCATATTCCCTACTCTAAATGATACTTATCTTTTCTTGTTTGACAAAAGAACAAAAAAAATCATCTTTTCCTCTGCTACAAATTCCAATAAAATGGGAACTATTTCACCATGATTTGAAGAAGGTTTTTTATTAAATGTACTGTTCATAATCTTCAACCATTTTCAATACATCTGAAAAAAATATTCATCCCAATTCTCTACGCACCAACATTTATCATTCAGGGGAAAAAAGGGCACTTTTAGTTCAAATATCATCACATTATCTCACTGAGTTAGTTTCAGATTGCTGAACTTTCCGAAAAATTACTTTATGGACACAGCAATAGCTCAAAATAAAACTGGTTTTGGAATCATAAATCCCCTTGCCTGCTTCCCTCATTCTATACTCAAAATCAGGGAAAAACACTGTATTTTTAAATTGAAACCAGTAAAAAATAATGTTGACTAACTGAACAAGGTGCCAAGCTGAGATAAATTGACATTTGCGATACAGATTAAATGAAACAAACACATTTTAGCTTCTATGTTACAACACATGTATTAGAAGAATCAGAAGGCTACATTCTTAATAGTCTGCATAGGAACTAATGATTTTGTCAGAAGTACTTCTGAGATGCAAAAAAGAAGACATTTGTTATTTTTGGTTAAGTATTTAAAATTAGAATTATTTTTAAATAAAACAAACATATGCATTATAAAACAGTTTTACCAAAATGTAGTAGTCTTTAGCCGGCTATACTTTTTTAGCTCTTAGGAAAATATACTGTTAAAGTGTTGCAACAAATTATATACTTCTAATACGCTTCCAGGTTTAAGTGTTTCACAACATTAGATGCGAAGCTACTGACTTCTCATGGTTTATCAGATGATCTCAGAAAAGTAACTTCCTGTATAATCTTTTAAAAGAATTAACAATAGCATAGATACTGTACATACGTCTCCTTCTATTTTATATATTAGTCAGTATTCCCAGTAATCACAAAATTGTAAGTTTTATGTATTAAATTCAGCCATGAATTTGAACAGTCAAACACAGTACATTAAACAGGTGATGGTTAGTGTCAGAAACATTGTCACTCTTCAAAAGCACTCCTCTGAGTGGAGGAACCAGAAAAATAACATCAACCTCTAGTGGAGAAACCATCACTGCATATACTGCATAACAGAAGTAATAAATAGTAAATACTAACTAAAAAGCATGATTTCCCCATTAATAAGAAGTTCAGTTACCTTTACCATACCTTTATCTGCTGTCTTCTAAGCATCGCAAGTTCCCTCATATCTCGGAATGGCTGTAGTAAGTACTGATAGAGCTCCGTGGTAGCTTCTGCAAGACTACTGTAGGCTTCATCTTCCATTTGATACAGGTCAAGGAGCTCTACCATGCTTTCTGTGTTCTTGTGCTTTTCCAGAAGCTGTAGAAAAAGTGCCCATTTTAGTGAATGTGTTCAAACATTGCTGCTAAAAGTGATGGTCATTTTAAAACATTTTTTAACCTACCCTCTTGTATTATCTTTACTCTCCCATAAAATCATCACTCAGACAAACAAACAATCTTAATCCCCGCCCACATCTTGAATTTAGCTAGTCAAGTATGAGCACGTCTCTGATAACCTTAACTCAAAATACGCAGCACTCCTATTGATTTTTTCTTTCCAAAAATCTCGGGAAGGTAATGAATATGAGCACAAAGACAGCACAAAAAGCAACTTAGTACAAGAATCTGTAACATAGTAACCAGATATGCTACTTCACACATTGCCCAGTTTCAGGTGTCGGGAGGGGAGGGAGTGATAGGAAAGGAGACAAAAGAGGAGAAGTCACATTTTCATCTTTCTAGGTTTTTTGGTGTTTGGGGTTTTTTTGCCTGTACTTTGGGCCCACACAGCCCCTTTGTATCAGTGCAGCTCCAGATACAGACAAGAATCTATATGAAACGAAACAGTCATCTGCATTTGGTAATTTTGCCTTCCGGTTTATGACTTTAGCATAGAGAGTTTAGGCATGCAATTTCAAATGCACAAAGTTTCCATTAGATTTTTTTTAAAAAAGGAAATTATCTAAGCATTATAAGCTTTAAAAAATACTTAAAATAAAATAAAATAATTTACACTTCAATTCATACAAGAAAACAGAACATCATCAAAGTCTGTCCATTCCTTCCTTTAGTTCTTATGAAGCCGAAAATTCATGTTCGTACAAATTTGCTACAATGTATGTTTTTAATTTATATGCTTGTTTTGCATTTATTTTGGGCATTTGCCTGGGCAGACCTCACATGCTGCTGGAAATCTCCAATTTCTAAAAAAAAATTCAACTGTTCAACAAAAGCTGATCTCATACAGACATGTGGAGTACTTGATATATTTACAAAGACAAGATTAGCTGAAATTAATTCCCCTCTTATGTAATTTTCAAAGTCAAAGTCTCTTGTCCTTTATATTATCATCTCACAAGCATACATTCACAGTCCACATTTATTTAAACTTAACACAGGTTAAGAACACTACGGAATAAGCACATTGTATCTTCTATCTGTTCATTCAAGTTGGATGCCAAGCCTACGTAAAATATTCCCAGTGTACTCAACTACATCAAGTGTTATAACTGGAAGACAAAATACAGGGAATTGCAGATTAGAAACTGAAGCTTTGGTCAACAGTCCTTTGGTGTCTGGTTCATTTATATCCCAGCACAGTCAAGAGAAGTCTTGATTACCATACTGTCTACTCAGTTTGCTTCATTACATTCATATTACTATGCTGTGTTTCAGTTACCTCACCAGCTAAGAAAAATTTTCTCTTTCTTCATAATGTAAAGTTTGCTTCTGAAGGTCCTCCTAACCCCACCTGGGCTTCCTTTGAAGCACTAAAGATCGGCCAAGGTTAGAGAGAGGATGCAGAGCAGAATGCAGAGAGACTTGTAGTAGCTTTATTTACATGTTCAGCATTAAAATGATGGTCAGATGACAAGCCAGGAAGAGCTTTCCCTCAGCAAGGCTTGGCAGAGATGAAAGGTCTGGGAGAGATGGTGTAGAACAGATGTGACATTCCTCAGCAGCATGAAGCAATTTGTTGTATTACCTAAACAATTTCACGTAGGAAATTGTTCCTATTGCAAGGTCATTTGCTATGTCCTTCTGCCCTGTTCCAGCAGCATGTATATTTTGTGGCATTTGAGTTCTCACTGAGAGTACTGGGTAGTGGTTTGCAGCCTGTAAAACTACCATTTTATGAACTTTCAGGGTTAAATACACATAGCCTAAACTGCAATTATAGGGACAGAAGTCATCCCAAGATGCTCTTGGGTTTGAGTCCTAAGTCGCTATGGATTTCATTTCCATTGCATTTCCAGCCCGCTAGCTGTTTTAACCATCTAGTCTATAAAGCCACCTTCTTTCTCAGCTCCTCTTGCTTGTTGCTAGTACCTAAAAATAGAGTTGCCATACTCAAGCCTTCTCCTACTTCCCCCTGACATTATCAGAAAACCCTCTTGCAGTCCCAAAGCTGTAATTATCCCTCTGTCAAGATACTGAAAAACCAAACCTTTCTTCTCAAGCCACCCATTGCAGAAAAGGTCTCTATTATTAGCAGCACACTGTAACATTAATTTCCTTTCAGTTCCTTAGGCTATTATATCTTCTTATTAAATAAATTTACACATTTGTTTCATCGTTAAACCCTACTATTCTGCTAGGACACAAATCCTAGAGGGCAACAAAAAAATAACAAAAATTAGAGAAAACTTATCACCATTTAAAGGAGAATCTTAAGTAATCTCATTCCAGGAACAGAACAATACAATGCAGGGGTTTTTTTTCCTTTACAGACCATTCTTAAGGCCTATTTAATAGTTCTGATATTCTAGAAGAGTCTCACAACTTTGCAGAAGTTGGAGTGAAAATACCAGGAAATGAAGGACCATTTCAATTTTATGACCATCAGTACAGTACAAAGACATCTTAAGGACACTAAAAGCAAGTATCTACTTATAATCTGTTGGTTGTTCAATGAAAATCATGTCCATCACTGGCAACAGTATGGATAAAGTAATGAATTATCATACATTCCTGCACATACAGAAGATAAGTAAATGGGCATCGTTTCAAGGGCTTGTTCATGTCCAGTTCTATTAGGTCTGCTGCTGGGGTTACCCCAATCCTAAACCTAATCCTCAACTCCTTCAGAAATACCAAACCCCCGATAAAAAAATACAAGTAAGACCAGGTTATTCATACAGAATATATATATTCTTAAATTATTAACACAAGGTAAGCAACCATTCTTCCTTCCTAAGGCAATGATGCACACGGAGTCCATTTCCTATGCCTAATGAAGACCTTTCCGAATGAAAACAGTGATGAAATTTCATTTAAACTACAGTTGCCAGAAAAGACATAACAAAACATGAAAACTGATTTGGAAACCAAAGAGTATCACCTTATTTGGTTTGGAGCAAAGACCAAAGAGCTATTGAATGGGGATACTCTTCAAAACAGGTAGGAAGATTACCAACCTGTGAGCACTGGTTACGTACAGCCTCATTACATGCATCCTTCTATTAACTTGTTCTTCTACAGCCTCATTCAGACAGTGTTTTGGGGAAAAACATCTAAACATCAACCTTTTCTACAAAGGTTGTAAACTAGCTCAAAAGCACATTGAAATTATTTTGTCCTGTCAGATCAACACCATAAAATTGCTTCCTCAAATTTCACTTGGGTTAAAGGTTACACGAGAGAAAGAAAAAACCGAAGAAGTGTAAAAAAATCCAGTTTTGAAAAAGAAAAACAACACAGGGAGTTATGACATGCATTCGAAATTATAATTATGATATGTGCCTAGGTGGTCAAGAAGGCCAATAGCATCCTGGCTTGTATCAGAAATAGTGTGGCCAGCAGGAAGTGATCATCCCCCTGTACTCAGCACTGGTGAGGCCACACCTCAAATACTGTGTTCAGTTTTGGGCCCCTCATTACAAAAAAGACACTGAGGTGCTGGAGTGTGTCCAAAGAAGGGCAACAAAGCTGGTGAAAGATCTAGACAACAAATTTTATGAGGAGCGGCTGAGGGAACTGGGGTTGTTTAGCCTGGAGGAAAGGAGCTCAGGGGCGACCTTATCGCTCTCTACAACTACTTAAAAGGAGGTTGTAGTGAGGTTGGTGTTGGTCTCTTCTCCCAAGTAACAACTGATAGTACGAGAGGAAATGGCCTCAAGTTGTGACAGGGGAGGTTTAGATTGGATATTAGGAAAAATTTTTTCACTGACAGGTTTGTCAAGTTTTGGAACAGGCTGCCCAGGGAAGTAGTGGAGTCACCATCCCTGAAGGTATTTAAAAGAGGTGTAGACATGGTGCTTAGGAACATGGTTTAGTGGTGGACTTGGCAGTGTCGGGTTTGCGGTTGGACTCAATGATCTTAAGGGTCTTTTCCAATCTAAATGATTCTATGATTCTACATAAAATACACAGTTTGAAGGAATACAGAAGGGTCAGACCACTCTCTCACGTTTTGGAACTGATGTGATTACCAATCACCAAGCCTCCCCCAACACAGTGTGGTATGAAGAGAAGACTGATAGCTTTGATTCTGCTTCTGGACAGAGCCTTGTAAGCCTGATGAAGAGTCCAGGCTGCTTTATTGCCACCAGTCCTAACGGGGCACTGACACAGGGGATGGATGGTGCTAGAGGACCTCTTCCACTTCGCTCCATAAAGCAGTCCAACAGAAGCTTTCCTGTTCTGGATCAAAGTCAGCTGAAGCATTTTTTTAGCTGGCGGCCATCCAGATACTATTCAGATATCGGATAACAGTAACACTGGGTCTAGCACAGAATCCACTGAATTAATAATGTCATAAAGGCAATCAGGCCCTCCATAGACTCACAGGTAGTTTAACTGTGTATGTTCCAATTTTCAGACAGACAGTACCTAGACGATACACTATATTAGAAACGTGAAAATTCAGCTAATACCTTTTAGTAAGATGGAGACATTGGTTAAGCTGGCCGAATGCCTAAACCAACCTGGTATCTTAAAACCATGCAGTTTTCAAGGTGTTGGCATAAAATACATGAACAATTTTTGTGGCATGTTTTATGCCCCACTCATGATTAATTCTCAGCACAGACATTCAGTGTTACTGTTCATTTACTTCAACAGTCTCAGTATGAATTTTTGACTTGCACAATTTTTTAATTATATTATTTAAAGCAGTGGGTGGAGGAGGGTAGAGTAATATCCTGTACAGGCCTGACTAGCGCTATACCCATTGAATACTGCATTTATTTTAAGAATCATGTTTCACAGATGTTACATTGTTCACAACTAAATGAATCCATATATTTTAGGCAACTATTATGCAGATAGACTCTAACCAGCAGGAAGCTTTTTTTTTTCAATTTAACAGCACATATA